ACGACGACGACTACGACTACCACTGTCACTACGACTACTACGACGCCGGTGCCCTGTACAAAAGTATCATTCTGACTGTTTAGCTGACTCACAAGCCAAAGGCGGGCCTGGCTCTCCACATGCGGGGTCTGAGCTTCCGCTTGTGGCCGTAGGCTTTGCGCCATGTCTGGTCCTTGCCACACGGGGTGGGGGTTCGGGGGGGAGGGGGCGCATCGCCATAGTCAGACTTTGTGCCGCGCTTTGTGGCTGCATGGCTCAGGGTTAGGAGCCATGGTTTCAGGATCCTAGGAAGGCTCCTGCATCGTCCCAATGTAACACAAAGTACTGTGTGTGTGTGAAACTGTGGGTTCTAACCCTGCTCCAAAAACAGGATGCAACCAAAGAGCACCGTTTAACCCTGAAGGCCCGAGGCTTCATGGTCCTCCATTCAACCCCCTCGACCCCTGAGGCGACCACCCATGTGGCCCGAGATACATCGCGGACTTAGTGATTCACCTTCCCCGAGCTCCTGCAGCTCTCAATGCTCCCAGGCTTTAGGCCGAGTTATCCTTTTTGTTAAGGGCTCTTAGGGTTTTAAACTGACTGAACGGCTCGGACCTACATGCATGGGGGGCTCAGTGCCGACTATTTTGCAGGGCTCCGCCGCTGGATGCTGTTTGCCTCCTGCATTCCACGACGACTGCATTTAGGGAAGTTATGGTATCTTGTGAATTAGGGAGGCAAGGGCAAGATTCATCCAGGGCAACTAACTGAAATCCGAGACTCTTCAGTTTATATAATGCAGGGGCCTTAACAATTAGAGTAGGGTTTTGGGGTATATCATACTACAATTATAATAAGGCACCCCCCCAAAATAGTAATAGCTAGTAAGGCCCCGAAATTAGGGGTTGAATGGGCCCAAAAGTCTTAGCAGGACTTGCTGGAGTTCGCGGTCATGTGTTGACAATTCGCCTTGCGTGTCCGTCGTTATGGGCTCTTCTTCCACGTAATCTAGAAATGGTCGGAAGAACGAACGAGAAATATCGTCTTGCTTTTCTTCGAATCTCCACCAATGCCCTGGGTTTCTGGCGTTTCCTGCTTTCGGGGATGTCCAGTTTTTCAAAAAACAGCAGTCGGCCGAGCTTTGGTAAATTTGAAGTCAATCCGGGCGTGCCAGAAATCAATAGGGATTTAAGCTTACAGTTTTAGGGATTAGGGGTTTAGGGTAATTTGGGGATTCGACAGCTTTGGGTCTCAGGTTGAGATTCTGAGGGACATCGAGGCCTAAACCACAAGTTGGGCAATCAACTGGGACGCATCGGCTAGTCACAAAGGTGGACAGCCTTGCGCAACAATGCATCCTAAACCCTAAACCCCTCAAGCCCTAGACGCTAAACCCTATGCTAAAACTGAAGATTCACTGCCCGAAACCCTCAAGGCGACCTCCGCCCGCGCACACACACACAGAGAGACGAGGCAGAGAGACAGAGAGAGAGAGAGAGAGATAGGGCTCCCCAACATCCCTGAAGCCTCAACTGCAGAAGGCCTTTCTCGGGGTTCGAGCCTGCGACCTAACTTATAAGTATCTATAACTCAACACGAAGCTTCCCAAACGGCAAAACACCGGACGTCGGAGAATCCTGCGAGTCGTGGCCGGAACCTCAGATTTCAATAGCAGCTGTGACAGTTGTGTGGTTGCTTGCCATGATCATAACTCATAACCATCAAAGCCATAACGACAAAAAGTAGGACCTGAGAAAAAAAATCGTACTGAGACGATTCAATGTGGCGGGTGGTATGGGTGTTCATCCTATTGCTACTAGCTAGGTGCTTTTGGTTGTTGTTCCTGCCAAGTTAAACCAGGTAAGCCCCAAGCCCAAAACCTCAGCCAACAAAGAAGATCGAGAAAGGTCTTCCAGAAAGGTTGATTTCACCTATGATTTCACGCGTATTTCTAGACTATAGAAACGACAGCCGACCCGAGCACTGCTGAGTCTTGAGACTGATTCTCAACCCCACAATACTGTCGGATCGGGATACTGGATCTTCTCACGGAGCCCTACTCTACACCGTAAGTAGCATTGGGTTGTAAACTGCAGTACCTTGCAATATATCAGAGACATCATAAACACGTACCCCGGGGCCTGTGTCTGTGCCGCAAGCGGTTGTTATTGGGGGGGGGCCTGGCAGTAGTGGCGGCGATAGCGGACGTGGGGAGGGCTGTGGCCCGACAAGCTATTCTGCGGCACAATCGCGCAGCACCGCAATCATTACAAGATCTTACAAGTAATAGACCCATATGACAACCGAGCCCGAACTCCAAATGCCCAGTTGGTTGAGGACCACAGAATGGCTCGAAATGTAGGGGGCGCGTAAGATTATTCGCTAAGACTCCACACGCACACACGGAGTTTGCATTTTCACGCTCGGGTTAGCCGGATAAGGATCTTGGCTCGCGGTCAGCAGAGTGAGAAACATCGCAGTCCGCCAGACCGGCACCCACACTATTTGCCGAGAGCAAACCCAACTGACCAATTCTTGCTGCGTCTCCTAAAAGCAAAATTTGCAAAGTGTGCGAAATGGTGCCCTGTCCGACCAAAACCTCCTACAGCTGTGTTAGAGTCGCACACTCTGGTTCCCCACTCTTGGAGAGTAGGTCATGCTCAGATCCGCTCCGAGCAAACCTTCGTTGACGTTGGCCTCAAAAAGCTCGAAGTTGAGGGTGTCGGCATAACTTCGCAGCCTCTTGTTCCTTGGTCGCTGAGTTCATAAGCGCAAAAAAATGTAAACTCTCTGTTCCATGTTTTTATCAACAAAGTGTACCCATTCAGCTACTAAGGTTCTGATAGCCCCCTGAAGCAAGGCTGACGACAATACCGTTGAAGCCCATGCGGCCGCAACGACCGGCTCTGTGCGCATAGGTCGCAGCATCACCCGGAAGCTCAAAATTCACCACGTGAGTTAGGTCCTTGAAATCGAGACCCCGCATCGCCGCGTCCGTGGAGACCAGGGCCTGCACCTGTGAGTCTCAGAGAGCAAGGGACACGAACCCTGAACCTCACATAGTATAGTATACTTATAGTATCCTTCTTCCTTATTCTCAGGCCCACCCCCCCCAGCCCCCCCGCCGAACAGACAAAAACAGTGCAGGTCCCCCCTTACGAAACCCCCAACCTGTCCCTTGGCCACACGGTAGATGGCCATGTCACGAGCTTCCTTGGATCGGTTGCCCGTCAGGTACTCGGTTGGAATGCCCAACTGCTTGTCCATCTGCTCTGCCACCTTGCGGACACGCTCATGGTTGTTGCAGAAGACGATGAAACTGTTACAGGCAGGGTCAGACGTGGATAAGCGTCTGAGGAAGCTGAGCTTCTTGTCCACATCCGGAGCACCGTTCACGAGATGGAGAACTCGCTTCGGCAGCTCCATCCCATGTCTGGGCCCAACGAGCTTCCAGTTGTCCCTTAAGATGGTTTCTGCGAAATCCAATGCGTTCCCCTCCATGGATCCACTCGCGGATACCAGAATCCGCTGGGCTTGTTCGTTGACACCGATGTGCTGCAGAAGAAGCTGTAGGTGATCCTTACGCGACATGCTCAGGAGGGCATCGACTTCGTCAAAGACGATGGCATCCAGCTCACTGAGAATCAAACCTCAGTTTAACCCGTCCAGGCCTGGAAAGTGCTAGAAACAAAGTCATCTTAAGCCTAAATGAGGGGACACATGTACAACATTCACCCTATGCCCTAAACCCGAAATCCAATACGGGAAAACGTACAAACTACACCCTAAACCCTGAACCCTACAGTACGCCCTAAGTCCAAGAGTGGGGGAAACTTGACCAAACAAAAGTATACAAAATACCCCAAAGGCTTCTGACCAAGAGGCGGCCCTCCATAGAGTGGTCCATCAGCTTTCCCGGAGTGCCAACAATGACGACAGGTTGCCTCATTCGGGGCTTTTCGGGTGTTTTCAGAGCTTTCGGGGTTTTAGGATTTAAGGTGCAGTGCTGCAGCGTTTTCGGGTTTTCGGGCTTTGGGCCCGACGGTTCTCCCCCTATAAGCCCTATAAAGGCTAAACCTTATAAACCCTATAAGCCCTACAAGCCCTATGAAGCCCATAAGCCCTATGAACCCTGAACCCTATAAACCCTACAAGCCCTATAAACCCTGTAACCCTATTAGACCCTATAAACTTTATAAACTCTAAGCCTTAAACCCTAAAGCCCGAAGCCCTAGGCCCTAAACCTTGAACCCTAAACCCGAAACCTTAAACCCTAAACCTTAAACCCTAAACCCTATAAACAACAAACCCTAAACCCTGTAAACAACAAAGCCTAAAACAAAAACTTAAGCCCTAAACCGAAACCCTAAACAATAATATAAGCTCTATAAGCAACAAACCCTACCTAAACCCTATAAACAACAAGCCCTAAAATAAAAACTTAAGCCCTAAACCGAAACCCTAAACAATCATATAAGCCCTATAAGCAACAAACCCTACCTAAACCCTATAAAACAAAAACTTAAGCCCTAAACCGAAACCCTAAGCAAGCATATAAGCCCTATAAGCAACAAACCCTACCTAAACCCTATAAACCACAACCCCCTAAAACAAAAACAAGTTTACAGCGCCTCTCCGCAAGGCGCTCATCCTGGCGCTTGTGGTTGTCCTTGCCCACTAAGAGCGTGACGTTGAGCCTTGGTTGAATGCAGCTCATGGCTTCTTTAGGGCATATTTAGGGTTTCGACTCTCATCTTAGGGTTTAGGGATTTAGGGCATATTTGGGTTTAGGGTTTAGGGGGTTTAGGTCTTCTTTGGGTTTAGGGCTTAGGAGGGGGTTAGGGTTTAGTTTAGGTCTTCGGGTTCAGAGGGTTTGGGGTTGGGGGGGCGGAGGATCAAGAGACAGCTTTCCCATCGTAGGGGTATCGAGACATCTATGCACACATTGCATTCGCCCCAGACGTAAGTTTGAAGTCGATAAAGCTAAAATCCAAAGACTCACCCAAACCCCAAAAACGTGAAATTCCTAGGCTTCCAGCACGAAGTAGCTGGGGGAAAGGCTTGAGAAGGTCGGCGATGACACGAGCAGTCTGCCTCGAGAGCTCGCGCCCCGGTGCCACCACAAGAATCTTCGGCTTGCTTAGAATCTTGGGCTGTAGGTGATGCGGCAAATTCGAGCGATATTTTCGGAGGTCCTGTTGCCCGAGAGGGAAGACGAAGCGATGCAAAAGCGGGAGTAGAAAGGCCAAAGTTTTCCCAGATCCCGTCGTCGAGGTGAGCATCACATCACTACCCGAGAAAATGGCCGGCAAGGCCAAAGACTGCAATCTGTTCGGCGTCTTCACTCCGAAGTCCTGCAAGAGATCCATGACGGTGATGCTCTCTGGGCTGTCCATACCTACAGAGAGCTACTATGAAAACTTCACACCTTGACGGTGGATATGAAGGTAACTAAATAGAAAAGCAACAAAAGACTCAGGCGCGATTTTCGAACCGCTCCACCTAGCTCCTCCCAGCTTTGGTTCGCCGGGTCCAGCCAGCTTGTCTGCCCCTCCACGCGCTCCCAAGGAAGCGGGCCGTAGTTCCGCATCACGGCCTTGTACATCTTGCGGTACACGGAGGAGCCAACCCTATCTTCTGATCCCGATTCACGTCGTGGCAGCTTTGTCGAGGCCGGATCCTTCTCCTTTGGGACTTTGGTGTTCAAAAGCCAGGAACTTAATCTCTTCGGACGTCTGGATGCCGTCTTGTTCAGGGCAGGTTCAACGCGCGGGGCCGTCTGAGTAGGAGGAGTTGGCTTCACCCGGGGCTTCCGCATGCGCTGCCTGAGAGGACGGCTCTTGAAAGGGTTGTAGTCTGGATCTGGGTCCGAGTCCACCTCAGTTTGTTGATCTTCTCCCGTCTGCCACCTTCCAGCGCCACCCTCCTCGCGTGGAACGCGTGATCCGCGCCGTAGCTTGCGTCGATCATTCTGCTTGGCATCCAAGCCCCACCGGAAGGACGAGCGTGCCTCGAGCTCCTCCACGGAAAGCGTCTGGAGGTTCTGACGCTGGTCGAACTCCATTGGATCCAGCCGTGGAAGATCGGCTCTCTGGAAGAATCCCTCGCGCCGGAATTTTGGGTCAAGCGCCACCTTGCCCGGGGGCTTCCACCGACCTTTGCCGCGACTGCCTCGCGACCTTTCAGGCCGGTCTTCAGAGCTCACAGTCAGCTCATCCGCAGTCAGCTCGTCGAGGTCCGTCTCGCCCACCACCTCAGCATCATACAAGCCAACATCATCCTCGTCGAAAGGTCGGGCCGGAAGCCGAGATCCCACTAGGCGACGGTGCCCCTGCAGCCGCCAAGCAGCCACAAAGGCATGTCCCCCATGGTGCCAGAGTAGCAGAGCACCGGACACCGCAACAAAGAGGCATACTCGCAGCGGTCGTGACTCGTGCCGCCGTGGCCGCCGCGAGCTGGAGGATGCGCCTCCCTCGTACGAGCCGCACGTGGCCATGGGAAATGATGGGAAGTGCGGAAATCGTTCAGCCGGGCACTGACTGTTCAGGCATGGAAGTGTACTATTGATGTTGACACTGCAACGGCTCAGGTGATCGTATGCAGACTGAAATACCCAGTGCGTTGAATTCCGGGTTTGCTGTGCAGCGCATGTAGATCTGACCGGGGCAAGCTCATTTAACGTGCATGAGAGCGGCTTCGACTTGGAACATGCATTAACACTAATTAAAACATATGCCTCTGCCTGAGCCGTCGGAAACCCACGCAGCTTGGTCTCTAAGATGCACGCGACTGCTGCGCGTCCGGAGATGCTGCCCGGTCACCATTGTGCATCAGTGCCCTGAGCCGCAGATGCCTGGGTTACGAAGTCACAAGTGCGAGAGAACCCCCAAACCCAGTCTCGGGTCTTAGCCAATTCGGGAAAAAACGTGGGCCTTAAGCACTCATGACGAACTCCCAGAGCTCAATTTCAAGAGGACCCGCGAAAACTCGCAACTCCGGCTCACCCCAAGTCCTAGCACCCTATACTCTCTCTCTCTCTCTTTTTCTCTCTCTCTCTCTCTCTCTCTTTCTCTTTCTTTCAGCCTCGACAATTCCTCACGCTCAGCTTTGGAAGAGGGGAGGGATTGGTCTTGTCGCGCCGGTGGCTTCCTTGTCTTTGCGACGTGGTGCTTGCGAAGGTCTTCGCATTCTGCTGCGAGTATACATTCAGTCTGTGCATGACTCTCTGTGCGCACCTGCTAGCAAAAGAATTCCTACGATAACAGGACAGCAGGCATCCCCTGATGATAACCAGTGGGTAGCACCAAACATATCAGATGTCATTCAAATTTAAACGGCTTGGTGTCGAAACAGGGGTGAACGCCTGGGAACAGAGACTGAAAGTCGACAGACAAAAACATAAGTTCGCCAAGTACCTCTGCTGTCACTCCTTCCCTCATTCCTACCTTCCTAGCTGTCCTTGCTTCCTTCCTTCCTTCCTGTCTTCCTTCCTTCTTTCCTTCCGTCCTTCCTTCCTTCCTTGCTACCTTCCTTCCTTCCTTGCTACCTTCCTTCCTTCCTTCCTTCCTTCCTTCCTTCCTTCCTTCCTTCCTTCCTGCCTTCTGCGCATGCCTCCTTCTTTCTTCCCTCCTGCCTTCCTATCTATCTGCCTTGCTGTCGTCCTCTTCTCTTCCTCGCCTTCTGGGGCTTCCAGACACGCCCGTTTTGGAATGGCGATAGCATGAAACGACCCAGCCAACAATATACCGAAGCTGATTAAAACAAGCTGCCCTGAAGAATGTAACGCAGGGGCCTTAATAATTAGAATTGGGTTTTGGGGCATATTATGCTGTAGTCATACTAAGGAACCCCCAAAATAGTGTAGGTAATTAATTTAGCCCCCTGTCTTCAGCCCTGCACCATGAATCAGCCCTCTCTCCCAAACTCTCAAACGCCAGTTGAAATTCTTCTTTTTGCATCAGGACTTGTGCAATCGCCTGAATGTCCGAGCCTACAGAAGTTCTTCTAAACCCCTAAACCCCTAAACCCTAATCTGGAGAATATGGAAAAAGTCTGCAGTCCCACGACCCGCCCAAAACCATACACCATAAAGTCCAAAACCCACAGATCTTAGTGGTAAAACCTCAACGACCCAAGCCCGATCATGACCATGACCCTTGTATAAACTTAGGGTTTAGGGTTTAGGGCCCATATGGAGCCTCTGTAACTAGAACCTCGAGAAACCCTATTAAAAAGCCTTCAACTCTAAACCCCCAACCCGAAACCCCAAACCTTAAACCCTAAAAACACACCAACGCCAACAACAAACCTAAAACACACAATAACGCTAACAACCCTAAGCTCAAGCATTTGAGTTGCAAAGTGTAGCCGGCTCTCGCGAGAGCCGCCGAGGCCGCTTCGGCGACCAAGCTTTCAGCGACCTTCCAAATCAGAGCTTCAGCTTAGCTTTTCTTAGTTTTAGCATCGGAAACACGGAACCAACGACTGACAGAATGTACTGGAGACGACGTAAACTAGTACTCAGAAGCCTCACCTATGAAGTCACACTTGCATAGTAAATCAATAGCGAACGGTCGGAACCGCCAATCGGAACCGCAAGAACCGGAAACGCAGGAACCAAACCGCACATGATCAAGGTTCGGTTCACGGAAACCGTGCGGAAACAAACCACGGCCATAGATTATAGTACCCCAAAGCACTCTACTGCTAAACCCCTAAATGGTGAATCATCATAATCTGAAGTCCTTCATTTTCTTCGAGCTAGTTTTCATACGCTCAGCCCTAAACCCTCGACCTCGAGATCCCCAAAAGAGGCAGTAGCCGACCCTCCCCAGAACCACCCCCCTTTAACGTAGGGCGCAGTAATCTCGTGGAAGTGAAACTCAGCGAAAGTGGCCGCTATTGCGTTTAACCGTTTGCTCTTGATTCCTATGAGCAGGCTGGCTACTGTACTCTGCTGCTTGGAAAGAAGGCAATTCGTGCCGTGCTTTCATCAACGTGTCTTTGAGCCTTCACTTGAGGTGGAAGAGACTCATATATGGCATCATGGCTCGCTTGTTGTGCTCGGTGATGACAACGGTGATGCTGCCGCTACTGCTACTGCTGCAGGCAGTCTCGCGGCCGCGGTGAGAGAAATGCCAAGCGCTCTGGACCCCCCACAGCCCGAGAGTCATCTTAAGCACCTTTCTTGCTCGCTCACGGCCCCCTATCCAGCTGAGTCTAAAGCCGCACTGATGCAATAGAGGGCCTGAAGAACTAGAATAGGTTCAGAAGTTCTGGGTATATTACAGAAATTTTGGTAGTCCTCAAAATAGGGTCCTTTTTAGGGTCCTTTTTATGAGGGTGCCGTACGACATTGGGGACCTAAGAAGGGACCCTAATTCAGAGAACTACCCATATGATGAAGGATCCTGAGGAATTTGCAGCTTCGGGAGCCTGCAAGGTTGAGTTCAACACCCCGTCCAGGTTCTCGTCGCCAGGACCCTCCTCGTGATGGCCTGGCGGAAGGTCGAAATCCCAAAATCTACTAGTACTACTACTACTACTACTACCACCACCACCACCACCACCACTACTACTACTACTACCACCACCACCACCACCACCACCACCACCGCGACTACTACTACTACTACTACT